TAGTTCATTTTCCGCCAAACTGTTTAGTTTAGAGTTTTACATATTTGTACCTGTAACTGAGTAGCTATTTGAAATTTCAAAATCATTCCAAATTTTAAAAACGAATTTATAAAAGTTTTCACATTGATGTCTCAACCATTCATACATGCAGACCAAAGCTGGACAAAGCCCCCACCAAAAGAGCTCCAAAACCCAAAGTCCAAAGCCCATATTTAATATGGTGTAATATTTGAAGCCTCAATTACATTCTAAAATCCAACGATTTCGAATCAGCAATTATATCGAAAGCAATTAGTATTTAAATTCCTAAGCACGTTAAAAGAGCTTGAAGCCCTTTGAGTTACAAATTACAAAGCACTTTTGTAAAGTAATTCGTTTACTACATTCCGCAAATGTATGCACAATCCATAAATAGGAATGTGACCGCAGAGAGATAGAAACAGCTTCCGAATTCAATTATAAAAAGGTAGATAATCGTTTATGAGAATCGTCACATTAGAATGGAAAATATTTTAATGTGCATGGAAGCGATATTGACAAAACAGTTTAGTATGATATAAAGCAGAGGATAGCGCAGGATCGAGTCGTCTTCAATAAAAAGCAGTCACTTCTATGATCACGAACGATTAATTTAGAAATTCGAAAAAGAATGTTAAAGGAGTATGATTGGAACGCAGCGCTATACGGGTGCGAAACATGGACAGCGGGCGTGGCAGAAAAGAAAAGGTTAGAAGAGTTCGAAATGTGGTGTTATAGGCGGATGATAAGGATATCGTGGGTAGAAAAGGATAGAAATGAAGATCTAGATTAGATTACTGTTCGTAAATAGTTAAGGATGTGGAATGTTCTAGTTTAAGGGAAATGCGAAGATTAGCTCAGGATAGGAAGGAGTGAAGGTGCGTGTCCAACTAGTCTTAATACTGACGACCTTATGAGGATGAAATGGAAAATAATTTTGTGAAGTCCCATATATGCGGTGTTTAACCAAAGGTAAAATACAAAATAAGAAAAGTCAACGAAAGTCCGATTCTTACTGCGATTAAACGAGAACAGCGGGAGTGATCATGACCGGTTGTTCGTCTAGTCTGGAATATATGTCTTTGGGAGTAACCCATACGTAACTAGCCAGAGAACTGTTTGCTTGGTTGGCCATGGTGCGACGACACTGCCACTGCCCACCGACGTCGAGGACGCCGTTTATGTCATCGTAATCCTAGTGGTCGCCGGCAGCCTCCGGGAACACTATACATAAGTAAAAGTATAACTGAACGGAATTCGCGAAAGAAAAATCTTTCGGTTTTACCATAAACAACCGCAGCAGTTAATTCTGGTTCGTGTCAGGCGCAAGAGATGTATAAGACTGCGGGGAGGCAGTGTAAATCTTCAATAAGCGGATTAATATCGTTCCGTTTCCAATCGGATTTCAGGCATGAAGAACGACGATTAAATAAAAGAAATCTCCCGCAAAGAATAATCTCTAGTGAAAAACGTTCGTTATTGTATTAAGCCTACAAATGATTGTACCTCAACCACTTGACAATGGTGTACTGTACCAAAATTTACATTTTATTGTTTACTTATGCCTACTTACAAGAAACTGTGTATATACTTCTTCTAATAATTAATTATCTAATTTTCGACATTTTCTTGAAATCAAAATCGTAATGGGATTCAAGTATTATATGTTATTATTACATTACATATTATTATATTGTTACATTTAGTTTTGCTGGAATAGAATGAACTATTGCATCTAGATATTTGTGGATTAATTCGCTAGGAAAGTTGAAATGTTACGAAGGAGAGTTACCTACAGATTTCAACGTATCCACTTTTTCTTTAGATACATACCAAACGTGTAACGTCATCTCTGACGTATTATCTGTTCTATTCAAGAGGTTATTCTAGGTATTGCTCTAGAAGCATCCCATACTGTATATACGCTATGTCTGATAAGTACTTTGGAAAAAAATAAGGAAGAAGGTACATGAAAATGAAATAGAATGATCCATGAGGGTAATGACCTTACCGAAAGTCTGAACTGCTCCATCAATGATGCCGCCAGTGCATTATTCTCATTACACTGTCCATATGTAATCACCATGCTCCCATATTCTGTGTGCGAATGCGTTGTTTTTTCATTTGATTTTTTCACATTGAACTTATTTTTGTATTTTGTGGTAACAATACATTTGCCAATCGAACAATAACTATGAAGTGTAGATTCCTACAAATCGCCACACCTGCAATTGACCTATCTGTGTACCAGCTGTTGTGAAGGTCACGAGTAGGTATGAGTGTTTCGTCACTTGACACTTGCGATAACGTAGGGCGATTATACAAGGCGGCTACCAAACTGGCAACTGTTCTAAATCATTGGCAGCTCGTTAACTGGGGTACTTTTTATGCATACTATTCACACCCCCTTCGTTGTAGCGCTATCACGAGATTCTCTCTAGAGTACATCCACAGGTTACCTTTCAAAAATTCTAGAATACCGTTCAGACGTAGTGTATGACATAATAAATGTAAAAGATTTTCTTTTAACCACTTCTTAATTAGTACATTTCATATCGTTGTTCATACATATAACGGGGTCATGAATCATTCAAAATCTTTACAAAAACATGGTCGACACACATTGCAATAATCTGACCAAGGTTTTGATAGCGTCTGGGAGCACCACCACCGACAAGACCTATTATTCTAGGTACTACAGGTGCATAAATAATCGAATAAATTAATTCGAAGTGGTCTGTATTCTGTCGAAACTGCCAGACGCGTATCTCGATTTCGATCTTTTTGGATCTCATCAGCGCGTCGCAGACAGCTCCGACAGAACACAGATCAACTTTTGCCTGCTGTCTTAACAACATGTTTTAAAAAATACCACAAACAGCGCGGTAAACGCCATCTGTGGTACGATGCTACATTTTAGGATTACGTATGCTCCAAGGTCCTTTTAAATATATGGATCGGAGCTGTCTGCGACGCGCGGATGAGATCCAAAAAGATCGAAATCGAGATCCACGTCTGGCAGTTTCGACAGAATATAGACCACTTCGAATTATTTTATTAGATTATGGTAACGTGCCTATCACGTTGAGGTTAGCTACGCCGGGATTCGTTTCAGCAAGTAGATATCCATATATGAAATATTATTTTGAAAATTCATTTTTGGATTTTTTACTCACTTCACGCTACCTCAAATTAATGAGGGAAAAATTGTTGCTGTTGTCACACCCATTCATATCCATATATTTAAATGGAGCTTGTTGGAGCATACGTAATTCAAAAACGTAGCATCGTACCACAGATGGCGTATACCGTGCCATTTGTGGTATTTTTAAA